TATTCCACAATTTCAAAGGGCCTCCAATCAAAAATTATTTGGTGTTTTTGAAGCGTTGCTTCATACTAGAACCTGCAGTTGAAATAAAGAACTTGTAGTTCAAAGAACATTAGTGAATCAATTAGAAATTATACAAGAATGCATACAATGTGAAAGGAAAGACACAAGTTCGCAGGCATTATGGAGTGCAAGAACTTGTTTTATGAAAATAGGAGTCAAAATTTCTGTTTGATGAATGAATAAAATGCTCTCAGTGTTTGTTATATGCCCTTCCAAATTGCAAGGGATAGCTGCAAGTTCGCAGGCATTATGGAGTGCAAGCACTTGAGTAAATTTTGAGTTGACGTTCACAGTTTTAGTTGAATTGTGGAGACCACTTGCTTCTGTTTAATGTTAATAATTTTAAGTAGTGCCCTACATTGGTTTATTCTAGAAGAAACTTCTTTAGTAGCTAATGGTCTATACTGAGTTGATGAAGAATCGGCCAGTTCAGAAAAGCCACTTATCTCATGAAGATTTTGGTGAAATGACTTCTGTATGGAACTTTTACATGTTATGCATTCTTTTCTATTCCCTATTCTTTAATTATTCTTATTAATATTTTCATCCTTGGAATTTGATTATTATTGTTTATCATGCAGATTGCTCTAGTAAAGTCCTCATGTGAATTCATGTTAAAAGAACTTAAGCATTGGATGATTCCAGGCAAGGTGATTTTTTTCTAAATCTAAACCCAAAACTGTCACATACCATGTTGTCTTGGTAATCATTGACTCAGAATTATGTAATGCAAACAAGCTCTATTGAGTTATTTAGTTACAAAGATCAAATAAGAGTTAGATAATATACATTCAGCTCAAACTAAAATAAGAATAAAAAAACATTGTATGACATGAAAGATGAGACAAAGCACACTCGTGGATATTCATCTATCTTTACAGGTGTCTTTAGTAGATGGCAACTCAATCAACTCAAAATTATGTAATGCAAAGTATGCTGCAGAAGACTAGAGAGGAACCAATTGTGTTTGATGCTCTTGGCAAAAGGAAAAGTTTCTTGAAACATTCCCTTCTGGATTTGTGGGGGCATATTAAAATCAAAGAAATACAAACAAATAGCATGTATGCATAAAAATGCATGTAGAATCACATATACTGCTATCTCACAGACATGCCACTTAGAAAGAGTCATCCAAAAAAGTTGAACAGATGTGACATGTTGCAAGATCTACAAGTCATGTCAACTCCCTGGAAAAGAATTTGAAATTCATGTCCAGACACCCTAAGTTATTATTCATTCTTCCACAATATCAGAGTAGCTTTGAGAACTCTGTATGGATATGGGGCACATTTACTATCCCAATGCCTGTATTTTTAGGAATCTCTAGCCGGAGCCTCTGGCACTGAGTTGCCCTTCTTTTTATACTATAACAATTAGCATTAATAAGAGAAGTTGCAAGATGAAAATTCCATACAGGTCTATTTGGAAGCCCTCAGTAATCTAATTTAATTATGCTCAAGTCTTATTTTCAGTTCACTGTTGGTTTAGTTTTATAAATACATTAGGCTGCTGATTTTCTGCACAGATTTGCATGAAAGATGAAAGATAATATGAAAGATAATATACATTAGGCTGCTGATTTTCTGCACAGAGTTTCTAACAAACTCATTTTTTTTTGTGTTGCTCATGAATAAGATTTATTTTCCATTTTTTTTCTATAACTCATTTTTTTGTTATGATAATGATTGGTCTTATGAATCTCAATTACATCGTAAGAATAAGATTTAGATCAAGCTGTAACCCTCTCCTTTTTTTTGTGATCTTTCTTTTCCAGTGTTATCTCTTGATCCAGTCATTGGAGCTATTGCAGCTGGATCCTAGTGTATCAGAAATTTAGTTCTTGCTTTTGTTGGAGCTTCGAGTAATATTATGTAAGTTGATGAGTAAAATAGGTGTTAATAACCTTGTATACTATGTTGTTTGATGCATAATTTGATCTTGTCTTTGTAATAGTTGATCTTGTCTTTGTATATTTATCAGTTAATTCATGTGACACAAAATAGATCCAGAACTAAAAATGCCAATCCAGCATCAGGCATCAGGCAGATCACTAAAACAGATCCAGCCCACTAAAACAGATCCAACATCAGGCAGAATCAAAGCGCTCTTGTGACAGACCATTCCACAAATAGCAGCATGCAACAAAACATCAAAAGTCAACAATAGCAGCAGAAAATACTCATCAACAGCAGCAAATCTGTCAGCTTAAACAGATCAGCAAACAGTTCAAGGTCGGTAAACATATTCCTTTTGTCCCATATTCACATAAGAGTTAATGTAATTAAGCATGTATTAGTTCAGTTAGTTCATGCTTTGTAATTTATTTGTCTAATTTATTTAATGTAGTTCATGCGTTATAATGTATTTTACAACAGGCATATCATGCTTTATAGTGTTACTACAATTATTGCAGATTGGAAAATGGTTCCTGGCTTAAAGACTGGTCGGCTTCGGAAAAAGACACTCACGCAGCCAGAAACAGACTCGCCGGTTGCTATTCTTTTAGGATTACCCGTTGCTCCATCTCATGTTCTCCCCGTCCGATCAAATGTGGGACCATCTCATCATGCCACTAGCCAACCAATGGTTGATTCTGATGAGACACAAGCCCCATCCGAAACGCAGCCGAGTGGCGTAGATAAGATTAAAGTGTATCAAATTTGTCAATTATCACTTGCCATTGCTATTGTTTTTTTGTAGCCAATTTGTAGCCAATTTTCGTGTTGTTATTTTGTTAACAGGGACTTCGAAGCCCCTACGTGTACGCGGACCGACACTTGGAAAAGGCATACAAAAAATAATTAGAGCCAAGAAAGGGGAAAAATGTTATGTTCACATCGATCGTGAGTTGAATGCAATGACTGGCAAGTATGCCACTCCAGCAACTAACGAGTTAGGAATTCAAATTAGAACCTTGTGCCCTGTGAAAGATGTGAAGTCATGGCTGGATCTTGATGAGACTACAAAAGCTGCCGTCATCCAAGCTGTTCTTGTAACTAATATTACTTGTCCACAAGATGTAATTGTATTATGTATGCTTATAAAAAAGACTATTATTTAATGATTACAATTTCCATTTGTTATGCTTGTAGGACAAGTTTCAAATTAGAGACGATTTCCACAATGACTTACAAGCGCAAGAGATTGTGAATAAGAAGGCCTATGGATTGTACAAAGATTGGAGGTACACCTTGAAGCAAGAATTTGAATTTTTAGAGGGACTTCCACGTGATGAGATCTATGCTCATCCGCCTGTAGGGATGAGTTTAGATGATTGGAAGCATTTGATCGATGTGGCATGGCAAGATGCATCTCACCAGGTAAAATAATAGAGTAGATAGAGTACATACATCTATGTGAAAATGTGATATGCCTTAATATTTACCAAAAAATTGTTTATCTGCTTGTCTTATTTTTAGAAACGGTCGAAAGCTGGCAAGAGTAATAGGAGTCAATTGTCGTACAATCATACCAATGGGTCTCGCTCATTTCCTATCGCAATGGCTGCTATGGTGAGTTTGATTTTTTTTAAACTTGAATCCATTATATGTTGTTTGGATATGAAAATGTTATGTTGTGATACATATATATATGTTAAACTCTGTTAGTAAACATCTACTGTCTGCAAAAAATGTCTGGAAAAAATCTGTTAATGATACCCTTGCCACATGTTTGCATTCGAAATCTGTCAAAACTATACTCAGTTTTTCATTCCAAATCTATCTCGTCAAATCTGTTTCAATTCCAATTGAAAAAATCTGCAAAAATCTGTTTGACAAAATCTGGTTGGAAAAATTTGACGTACAATCTGTTTGCAAATGAATGTTTGAACAAATCTGCAAAGCCTGTAAAAATCTGTTTGAATTCTGTTTCAATTGTGTTTGAAAAATTTTGTACACACATGTTAGAATACACATAATATGAAGTGATTATAAGTGGCTATCAGTAGATGACTGACGTGTGATTGTATGCATGAGCAGATTTTGGTTTACCATGATATATCATTCAACTTTGGTCAATCAGTTCAAGTCAAATACGATATCCACATATTTTGGTCAAATCAAATACAATGTTCATTTGCAAAAGTTCATATGTTGAGTGGCATCATGATGGTGACTTTCCTCATTTACGCACTGGACCTTTAGACGGTTTTACATATTTCTTATTTTCCGATTCTAAAATTTTATTTTTCTGTCAGATTTTGCGTCTGTCACACTTCAATTCTCGTATATAAGATGACTACAATGTAATTCTTGTATATAAGGTGAGTTTAGGGATCTACATCTATTGCCACATATGAAATTTGTGTAAACTAGAATATTGCTGCCTCTATTTCCAAATTTCGCTACAAATTTGTCTGAAAATCTGGCTGCAAATCTGTCCATAAATCTGTCTAAAAATCTGAATCTGAAAATTTTATTTTTCCTGTATCTGTCTGCAAAGAATCTGTGTAAACTACAAATATGTCTACAAAAACTCTGTTATCAAACAAATCTGTTTGCAACAAATCTGTATCCCAAAATCTACTTAAAGTGTCATTGATTTATACGTTGATGTGTTAACAGGTTGCAAAAAATGGAGAGTTGGATTTTCCAAAGTTCTATGAGGACAGCCACACTTCAAAGAAAACGAATGACTAGATCCATCTGAAATGCCGTGAGTTGCATGTAAGTATGTGACAAGGAAATATATGTATTCAATATGACTGTACTTAGTACCCAATAATACATATATGTTGCCAAAGTTTTCTTCATCTTATTTATTTGCAATGATAGCAAGAGATGGTCAATGTACAAGCGGCTGCCATCGAGTCGGGGACGCCATTGGCACAGGAGGAGCTTCCAAGGCAAGTGGTTGGATAGAAGAAAAGGTACTTGCTTGGATTTGGTAGTGGCCCACAACCCTCTACCATATTTGCATCACGAGCACACGATAAGGACATGGAGGCAATGCGAGCTGAGGTGGAGGCACTTCGTGAGGAGCGGCAAAAAGATCATGACGAGTTAATGAAAGAGCGAGAGGAGTGTGAGAGATGTTACAATGAGCTGTTGAAAGAGCGAGAGGAGCGCATTCAATTTTCCAATGAGATGTTGAAAGAGCGGGAGGAGGGACAAAAGGCAAGGGAGGAGACAAATACAAAGGTCGAACATCTTAATAACGTAGTTGCCAAACTGTCACAACTCTTGGGAATCTAAGTTGGGCATCCGACGTTTGTTTTTTGGTAAGAACAATTTCATTAATGTCACACTTACTTTGTTTAAATATGTTCGCTTTAAGAGTTGAAAATGTCATCAATTTGGGAGTTAATCTGCCTCACAAATTCAATGGGAGTTGTTTAAATATGTTCGCTTTAACTTTTGTTTATAAGTTTCTGAGCTGATTCTTTATACTCATTCCTAGATTACAAACCAAGATCGTCATTCACTGAAACCTTTGTTTATACCCACCAACCATCAACAAAAACCTTTGCATTTTCAACTATAATTGACATTGTATCATTACCACCCAAGACCCTCATTCACTGAACTCTTACCTAGCAAAAAGAATACTTCAAATGAGAAGTTGTAAAGGAAGAGCACTGCTAAGTGACAATTACGAGACATTTAAGATGCATTGACAATTCATTGAACACTCTACTAACCAAGTTTGCTTGTTTCATTAAACTATCTACTACCTAGAAGTTTAAAGCTTATTTATGAGTTGTTATAAATTAATAAAAACTCAAATCTCCTAAACTACCAAATGTTATTTGTGCAATTGATTTCTTGTGTAGTTACTAGAGTTTGGTATTGAGTTTTCTTAACAATGAACTTGTGAATAAGATATTTACTTGATTAAGATTAACTATAGTAGCAACATGTTACAAAAACATAGCGAATTTCAATCTTCGTTTAAAGTACCATGTTGTTTTCAACAGTGGTATTTTGAATAGTAACTCGAACCATTGTTTTAACGTAATGGTAAGCTTCCCAGTAACAAATGTGACATGTAGGGACAGACGGTACGTAAATAGGACAAATACGTTGGGAGTTAGAGTTGAAAATGTCATAAACTTAGTCGAAAAAAGGGGTTCGGGGGCAAAAATGCAAAACAACCCCCGAGCCACTATTTTTTTTTTTGTAACAGAAAGCTTCCCGGTGACAAATGTGACATGTAGGGACAGATGGTACGTAAATAGAACACGTACGTTGGGAGTTAGGGTTGAAAATGTCAAAAACTTAGTCGAAAAAAGGGGTTCGGGGGGAGAAAATGCAAAACAGCCCCCGAACCACTATTTTTTTGTAACGGGAAGCTTCCCGGTGACAAATGTGACATGTAGAGACAGACGGTACGTAAATAGGACACGTACGTTAGGAGTTAGGGTTGAAAATGTCATAAACTTAGTCGAAAAAAGGAGTTCGGAGGGCGAAAATGCAAAACTGCCCCTGAACCACTGTTTTTTCATAACGGGAAGCTTCTCGGTGATAAATGTGACATGTAGTGATAGACGGTACATAAGTAGGACACGTACGTTGGGAGTTAGGGTAGAAAATGTCATAAACTTAGTCGAAAAAAGGGGTTCGGGGGGCGAAAATGCAAAACAGCCCTCGAAGCACCATTTTTTCATAACGGGAAGCTTCCCGGTGACAAATGTGTCATGTAGGGACAGACGGTACGTAAATAGGACATGTACCTTGGGAGCTAAGGTTGAAAATGTCATAAACTTAGTCGAAAAAAAGGATTCAGGGGGCACCATTTTGTAAGAACTAAATGTGACGAAGGATATACAGTTCATGCCTATACAGTTCATGTCCATGTGTATTAGAAGTGTATGTTAATGCCTACACAGTTCATGTCCATGTGTATTATTACATGAAAGCAATTCCATTCATGTTTAGTGAATTATAATTCTATGACTTGAGTTCATGATTTACAAAAAAAAAAAAGAAGCTCTATTTACATTGTTTCCGAGGCATGATAGGACTTGCAACATATATAAATAGATTTGAACATTGTTCTTAAGGCCACTGTTATTCATGTTTAGAATAATAATAAAATAAGAATGAAATTACAGTTGGTTGGTAATGAATGCATGATTAAGATATTTGTGTATATATATATAATACTTCACTCACCAGTTTAATTAGCATTTCAGTTCATTGGTATTAATAGGCTACTGTTACATATATTGTTGCTTGGGTCAATCTGTAATTATAATAAAATATATAAATATAGGTAGATGTATGCTAATGTTTCATGATTTAATTCATCAAATTGCTCAGTTTGTGAACTATTTTTTTTTCTTGATTTAAAACAAAATTGCATGCTCATGAGTCTCTAGTTTTATTTCCTATAGTTCATGATATATGTTCAAACTGTCAAGTTAGGAGACAAATACAAAGGGGTACGTAAGTAGGACACGTACAAAGGGGTAGTATGTTTGTGCCTCTTAAATATAGCATTGCCACTGTATTTTCGTAACGGGAAGCTTCCCGGTGATAAATGTGACATGTAGGGACAGACGGTACGAAACTAGGACACTTACGTTGGGAGTTAGGGTTGAAAATATCACAAACTTAGTCAAAAAAAGGGGTTCGGGTGGCGAAAATGCAAAACAACCCCCGAACCACTGTTTTTACGTAACGGGAAGCTTCCCGGTGACAAATGTGACATGTAGGGACGGACGGTACGTAAATTGGACATCTATGTTGGGAGTTAGAGTTAAAAATATCATAAACTTAGTCGAAAAAAGCGGTTCGGGAGACGAAAATGCAAAACAGCCCCTGAATCACTATTTTTACGTAATGAAAAGCTTCTCGGTGACAAATGTGACATGTAGGGACGGAAAGTACGTAAATAGGACACCTACGTTGGGAGTTAGTGTTAAAAATGTCATAAACTTAGTCGAAAAAAACGGTTCGGGGGGCGAAAATGCAAAACTGCCCCTGAACCATTGTTTTTACGTAACGGGAATCTTCAAGGTGACAAATGTGACATGTAGGGATGGACGGTACGTAAATAGGACACCTACGTTGGGAGTTAGAGTTAAAAATGTCATAAACTTAGTCGAAAAAAGCGGTCCGGGGGGCGAAAATGCAAAACAGCCTCCGAATCACTGTTTTTACATAACGGGAAGCTTCCCAGTGACAAATGTGACATGTAGGGATGAAAGGTATGAAAATAGGACACCTACGTTGGGAGTTAGAGTTAAAAATGTCATAAACTTAGTTGAAAAAAGCGGTTCGGGAGGCGAAAATGCAAAACAGCTCCCGAACCACTGTTTTTACGTAACGGGAAGCTTTCCGGTGACAAATGTGATATGTAGGGACAGACGGTACGTAAATATGACACCTTATTAGTTACGTGGCACAATATTTTTGGTATGTAAATAGGACACCTTTTTTTGGTAATACTATAGTTTGTTTAACTCTTTCCTTATTAGTTAAACGTGGCACAATATTTTTGGAAAATTGTTTAGTGCTTTTGTTGACTGTGGCCCTTTTAATTGCCATAAACACAACTTTTGGCATTAATTCATAGAATCGATGCTTGTCAAGAATTCCATGTTTGGGTGTCTTTCATTAATTAATAGCTATTACTCTCCTTGGCTTTTAATGTTTGAAATTATTACAGTTGCTATATAGGCACCAAACTAATGAATTTTATTTTTTTTTGCAGATGGTTTTGGACATACAAATGTGCATATATAATTTTTTGACAATTACGGGAGGGCATTATTTTTATGCCTCTATCCGTATATATAGTGGTTCATACAAATTACTCTTTTGGTGTGGCAGAAATTAGCATAGCACGTGGTACAAAATAGTTTTGGGGCAGTACAGATTAAATTTTTGTTGTGGCGCATATGTTCTTTTTGTCAATTAATTTGGTTATTCCTGTCTTATGTATGAATTTAAATTATTGACGTTGGATTAGACTTGGAGTGTATGGAATTTGTATTATATATAGAAATTGGACGTTGAAGATTAATTTTTTGGATGCTTGGAATTGAAATGTGTGCACGTTGTTGAATGCTGTAATGGTTGATAATATATTTTAGTGTTGATGGATTATATTGTTTATACAGGGTACAGGTTGTACTAATAATGAATACAGATTGTTTACAATTTTTTTTTTTTTTTAAAAAAAAGCAAAATATTATTTGGCCACCAAATGTTTTGGTAGCGAAATAGGTAATCAAAAGTTTTGGCTACTAATAATTTAGTAGCAAAAACATAACCCAAAACGTTTTTGTGACCAACAAATTAGTAGCTAAAAAATTTGAGAATGAGAGAAAGAAACTATTGGCCACTAAATTTTTTAGTCATGGAAAAAAGGGTATCATTTAGCGATTAAAACTTTTGGTGGCAAAAAGTTTTCAAATGAATCTTAATAGGTTTTTGGCTACGAATAGTTTTAGTCGGCAAAAGTAACCACGACTAATGACATGGTGGCTAAAAATATGTATTCTATTGGTGACCAAATTATTTAGTCTCTAATAGTTGGTCAAAATTTAACGATAGAACTTTTAGTGACTAAAAATTTAGTAGCGGAAAGGTCACGTTTGCTAAGTAATGAAGGATTCGTAGGTAAATGTTCACTTTCAGTGACCAATATTTTCGTAGCAAAAACGAATACCTTCCCCGACTACATGAGCGTAGTAGGCAAAAGTCACATTCGGTGACTAACGATTTTAGTGGCGAAAAGATACCATTTGGCTACTAAAAGAAATTTAGTAGGGAAATGTTTCATTTTTTGGCGACGAAATGAAGTTTGGTTGCCAATACTATCGCCGACAGGGTATAGGCGACGAACTTGCACTACAACAAAAAGCATTTTTGGCGACGTTTTTTAGCAACCAAATTGAATTTTGTTGCCAATTGTATGTTTTTGGCGACAATATATGTGTTGGTCGCCAAAAAATACACTATTAGCAACAAATATCTTAATTCGTTGCCAAAAATGGTTAGCGCCAATTTAATTTTCTGCGCGGGAGCGCTAAAAAAGTTTTGGCGACGAAATTAATATATGCCGACGAAAATGTTTGTCGCCAATTTGGATTTTTTGGCGACGGAATTAAAATAGTCACTGAAAGGTGAATGATATTTATGGCAACATAATAATTTTCGTCGCCAATAAATTTCTTGTCAAAACGGCGTCGTTTTGAATCAGTCTTTTTTTTTTTAATGACCGAATAAACAAGATTGACCTAAAATGTGTCTTCTTCGTCTTCTCATTCCACAACCTGGAGCGGCACAGAAGAGAAACAGGTATGTCTTCTCTCCCTCTTCTTCGTCTCTCTTTCCCTCTCCCTCTCCTTCTCCCTCTCACTCTCTCTCTCACACTATCTCATCTTCCTCTCTTTCTTCTTTATCATCAATTTCATTCTCTTGTTCGGCATTGCAGAACACAACACAATCAATAGGACTGATTTTTCCCTCACACTCTCTCATCTTCCTCTTTTTCTTCTTTGTCATCAATCTGATTTTTCGAACTGATATTGTGATTTTCGGACAGATATATTCTAATTTTTGGACTGATTTTGGAACTGATTTTCGGGACTAGAATATTCTGAATTTCGGACTGATTTTGGAACTGATTTTGTATTTTTTAGGGACTGATATTATAATTTTGGGTATGGATCATCTGGTTTAGGAGGGTATAATAGTTTCAGGCTCTGAATCTGAATGTGTAGGAGGATAGGACTTAATTATTTGAAGTTTCAAAACTCCTGCAGGTTCGTTCTTTTATTCTTTAGTACATTTTCATAAATCTGTACATATTATTTTACTATTTATTGGAAAAGCAGTAATGAGCAGGATTTCTTGACCATTGCGTATGGGAATTGTTGGGGGAGAGTTTAATATGATGACTAGTCCAAAGTGATATTTGTTATTTTTATGAAGGTTATGTTTGTATGTATATTATTAGCTACCTATATTCCTGTATGTTTTGGCACACATTTTGGGTGCAACTCTAACTAAGCTGTAGCTACAATACTGACTAATATAAATGGCAAAACTGTAATTCGTTCAGCACAAATAGCTTATTGTGTCCTTAAGGGTTCAACATGCCATTTTTCAGTAGAGTGACATAGCAGTAGAAGTCACATAAACAAAGATGTTGGGGTGGGTTTGAGCCCTTCTGAAAATGTATATTGGTGTCAAAGAAACCTAGACCCAACCCATCTTGCTAAAAGTTCAGGTTGATGATTGATCATTTTTCATTTCCAAAGAATATATTAGGCTATTTGGAGAAGGTTATTGGTTTTTGTTATTCTGCTTGTAATTGCCCTAAATAATTTTATGTTATTTAAGAATGTGTTATCAAGAGATGTACTTTGTCTGTTAATATGGGCTACAGAGGCAAAATTTCAATCTCATCTGCGAGTTAGCAGATGTGAACTCTGCAAGCCAATGCACTTGCTTACATAAATACTATTATACATTGCATGTTTCACAATGTTATGCTGTGTAAGCTTTCTTCTAGATGGTACTTTGTCCATTTTCAGCATTTGTTGTCATCCTTCCCATCTTCACTGAAAACTATGAGTGTGTGAGTGAATACATTTTCTCTCTCTTGTATTCATCCATTGGTTCAATGAATTTGATCAATAAAACCATGTGTTAGACACTATTGAAATATGGAACATATATATGGGGTAGTGTATTTTTTCTCTAAACAAAAATCCTGTTTTCTGCCACTTAGTTTATGCATTGTTTTTGACCTCTTCATGCTCTACATTTTAGTATTTATAGTTATGCTTAAGTTTATGCCTTATGTAGCTGCATGACTTTTTTAATGGTTGTTGCAGCTCTCAAACCTGGAAGTTTGGTTTCAGTGGCCAAAAGACATTGTACGGAAATTAGTATCAGGGGATCTAGACCTTGGTATTGTGGGTCTTGATACAGTTAGTGAATATGGGCAGGTATGAATTGTGCAAATGAGTTTTTTTATTCACATAAGGGAGAAGTCACAATTGTGAGAAGTGAATAGTTGATTGTATACTCATGTTTGATACCTGTTGAGCAAGTTTCCTACTATGACTTATAAGTTTTGTTCATTTAACATACGCTTCAGTAATCTTCTCTAATCAGTGATACGAAAAATTCCTTTTGCTTTTGGCTTCGTACACTTGTGACATATAAAGATGGCATCTCCCTCTTGATGCATTGTTTTTCTTAAATAAATTTGATTATCAAAAAAGAAAAAAGATACCATCCTTACTGTTAATGTTGCATTCATCTTGGCATTGCTAATTTTCTTGTGCACTTGTTTTCATTTAGTTTGATTTTGTGGGAAAATATTAACAATTGAAAATTATCATGTGAATTACTTTTCATAGGGGAATGAAGATCTAATTCTTGTTCATGATGCACTTGAGTTTGGAGACTGCCGTTTATCCTTGGCAGTAAGTCATTGTTCTCCTTTAACACAATACAGCGGTACGTTGATTGTCACGTGGTTGTACGGTTGTGGGTATAATACATATTTTCTTTTTGTCAGATACCCAAATATGGGATTTTTGAGAATGCAAACTCAATGAAGGAGCTAGTGCAAATGAGTCAATGGACACCCGAGAAACCTCTGAGAGTTGCCACTGGTTTCACTTATGTATGTTGCATTTCACTTTGTCCTATCATTTTTCTGTTGTATTATTTCTTTCTAAATAATTTTTATTTATAAGTTTCAATTAAGAAGTTTGGTTGGGATTAAGTTTGTAGTCCATTCTTGTGCACAGCTGGGTCCTAAATTTATGAAGGAAAATGGAGTGAAGCATGTTACTTTTTCAACTGCTGATGGAGCATTAGAGGCAGCTCCTGCGGTAAGAGTTATTTTTTTCTATAGTTTTATTATTTTTGTCAAGTTATGCTATCTCTCGTGAGTATTGCACGTGATGCTTGCCAGGGAGAGTGGACAGTACATGAAGGCTTGGCCATTAATGTCTCACATGTTCACAAATACTATACTTATTTGTCAAATATTTCTTCTATCTTGTTAGTGGTTATTTTTCGGGGTGGGGTGTTTATATTTATCTCCAGTTTCACATATCTGCACCCTTGATTTGATGCAGTCAAGCTATGTTAATTGACTCTTCATATGTGTGTAGTACCCTTTTTCTGGAAACTAGACACTAATGTAAGGGTATGGGATATGTATGTGACACTTGTAGTTGGACATTCACCTAGGTAGAAGCATGTCAAATAATTGAAGTTTACAACATAACTATGTAAAAATACCCTCTTTCTTCTTCTTATGAATTTTTTTTTTGGGGAGGGGGGGGTTGGGTAAAAATTTGACCTATTTTCTAATTAAACCAGTGAAGCAAAAATTTGAACCCGAATTCCCTGCATGTTTCAATATCATTTTGAAGTTATACTATATATATGTATACATATAGAGGAGTTGGTACATGTATATATGTGTTTCATTTTCAAGATCTCAATTAGCTTCTTACCTGTTTTTTGATTTATTGTTGCCATTGGCTATGAATGTAATGAACTAACTGAATTTTGCTTTTTGATTTATTGTCGTGACATTTTAGAATTTTGGCAGGCAATTGTGCCTTCGTTTGTTACTTCTGTTTACATTCTTTTTTTTTTTGTTTTTCAGTGATCAGATCACTGAATCTTTAATAAATGAAATTTTTAGAAAAGTTTACCATGCTTGACTTGCTATAAAAATCAGCTTCCTTTTTCTTCTGGATGCTGTTTTGAATAGGTAAAATTCAGAAAAGTTCATTTTTTCTAGCTCATTGTTTATAGCATTTTTCTTTTTGAAATTGGTTGCTTAGTATCTATAAAGTTAACTTATTTATTTGGCATTGCATAGTTCCTGCCTCCTAATGCAACTCATTTAACATAAATTGCATTATATATGCTAGTTCCCAATGGTATTAATATTAGCTGCTTGCTTTGTTGTTGAAAAAGATGGGAATAGCTGAAGCTATTGTGGACCTTGTGAGTCGTGGAACCACATTGAGAGAGAACAATTTAAAAGAAATTGAAGGTGGAGTTATATTGCAAAGTCAGGTGCACTCTCTTTGGACTTAACCAAGCATGCCAAACGGTCTTTGATAATTTATTTTAAAGAGGGTCTTCAAGTATTAATTTGAAAGTCTCTCTACTTTATCTTCTGTTGTCTTCAGGCTGTCCTTGTTGCTAGCAAGAAGTCCTTGACCCAACGGAAAGGTGTATTAGACATCACACATGAAATTCTTGAAAGATTGGAGGCACATTTGAGGGCAATTGGACAGTTCACGGTGTGCATAATTTATTTTTTATGTTATGGTTGTAGTTGCCTATAATTTCATTGTCTCATGCTATTTATGTTAGGTTACTGCAAACATGAGGGGAAGCAGTCAAGAGGAGGTGGCGGAGCGAATACTGAGCCAAACATCATTATCGGGCTTGCAGGTGAATCAATCTCTCTTTCTCTCAAAGAAATGTGAAAACCAAACCATATATGTTGTTTTATCCTAGTACGAGTTAATTCTAAATGGCGTGTATTGTGGAAGCACTCACTGGAGATACTTTGATATTTTTGAATTATTGATTAAATGTTGAGTTCTTCTCAGTTCCAAGAGCTGCCTTAAATGCTTTTCATGTTTATATATGCAGGGGCCAACTATAAGTCCTATTTTTTGCCAACGTGTTGGGAGAGTAGCATCAGATTACTATGCCATAGTCATATGTGTGCCCAAAAAGTTGCTTTACAAGTCTGTCCAACAGCTGAGAGCAGTGAGACACTTTTTCTTTCTTTACTCAATATATGCCATTAATTATAATAATAGAAACTATTCCTTCCCAAGTTCCCACCCATCCACCCACGACACGCAGAGAGTTAGAGAAAGACCACAAAGTTTAGGGTTTAGTCTTATTTGGGGTAGAGAATGAGAGCTGCCACTTTGTGCAAATAATGCTGTAATTTAATTTTGTATCATGTCTAACTTCCCACTAGCTCACATTTATAGGACCAACTTTGTGTAATTACTTGCCATGTCAAATATCATATTACATATAGAACACGAAAACTTTCTGGCTCTGATGAGGACATCAAAATTTGACTAAGAACCACTATAGAATTTCTGGCACAATGGGCCAACCAATTCCACTGGTTGTCAGCTTGTCCCTGATTTTCCAAGTAAAAACATGTTTCGTGTAAATAATGCCAGAAAATTGGTTGGTTTTGGTTGAATCTGATTTGAGGCTTGTTTAATGTTTTTTTTTTTTTTGGTGTGTGTGACTATTTTAGAATTTGAATATAGGAAAACACTGTTCCATCTTTTTTGCGTTGAAGTGTACATTTCATGATTTGCAGCCTCATCTTCAATTTTTTCCCATTTCATTTCTCCTATAGGAAAACATGTTTCCTGTTTCATTTGCAGCCTCATATGGATTTTATCTGGTTCCTCTTAATTTTTGGTTCCATTTCTTCTTTGGCCTTTTGAAGTTTTTGGGACTCTCATATTGACCTTTTGGAACTTTTTTGCTTGACTGTATTGTCTAATGCAGATTGGAGGTAGCGGAGTTCTGATTTCACCTCTGACCACAAGAGCAAGCTAAAATGATTGAAATGCAAAATAAAAGATTTGAAGAGATTGAGAAGTTTACGAGGATGACCAAGGATCAAGCAGGCATATAGGTTGATGAAAATGATTATTCATCAGAGGAATCTTATTGACAAACAATTTTGTAAGTATATTTTTCATAATTTACTTTTCAAATCACTACAAGCATCTCATTTAATATGTCTGGTTGTGTTGAACAAACGGGACCTCGATTAGATCTCCGGTTAGAAAATTATAAGGAAAATTGTAAAACACAAGACTTAAAAGGCCCGTTAGAGGGCCGAAATTGTGAAATGACCACCGAAACCATCAAAACTTGGCACAGACAGCTTGTTCAAGCCTAAATAGACTTGTAGGAAAAAACGGGACCTCTATTGGATCTCCAGTTAGAAAATTAGAAGGAAAATTATAAAACATAAGACTTAAAAGGCCCGTTCGGGGGCCGAAATTGTGAAATGACCACCGAAACTTGGCACGGACAGCTTGTTCAAGCCTAAATAGACATGTAGGAACAAACGGGACCTCGATTGGATCTCCGGTTAGAAAATTAAAAGGAAAATTGTAAAACATAAGACTTAAAAGGCCCGTTCGAGGGCCGAAATTGCGAAATGACCACCGAAACCACCAAAACTTGGCATGGATGGATTTTTCAAGCCTAAATAGACTTGTAGGAACAAACAGGACCTCGATTGGATTTTCGGTTAAAAAATTAGGAGGAAAAATGTAAAACACAAGACTTAAAAGGTCCGTTCGGGGGCCAAAATTTCGAAATGACGACCGAAACCACTGAAACTTGGCACGGACAGCTTGTTCAAGCCTAAATAGACTTGTAGGAACAAACGGGACCTCAATTGGATCTCTGGTTAGAAAATTAGAAGGAAAATTGTAGAACACAAGACTTAAAAGGCCCGTTTGGGGGCTGAAATTGCGAAATGATCACCGAAACCATCGAAACTTGGCACGGACAGCTTGTTTAAGCCTAAATAGACTTGTAGGAACAAACGGAACCTCGATTGGATTTCCGGTTAAAAAATTAGAAGGAAAAATGTAAAACACAAGACTTAAAAGGCCCGTTCGGGGGTTGAAATTTCAAAATAACCACCGAAACCACCAAAACTTGGCACGGACAGCCTTTTCAAGCCTAAATAGACATGTAGGAACAAACGGGACCTCTATTGGATCTCCGGTTAGAAAATTAGAAGGAAAATTATAATACACAAGACTTAAAAGGCTCGTTCAGGAGTCGAAATTGCGAAATGACAACCGAAACCACTAAAACTTGGCACGGACAGCTTGTTCAAACCTAAATAGACTTGTAGGAACAAATGGGACATCGATTGGATTTCCGATTAGAAAATTAGAAGAAAAAATGTAAAACATAAGACTTAAAAAGCCCGTTCAAGGGCCAAAATTACAAAATTACCACTGAAACCACCGAAACTTGGCACAGGTAGCTTGTTCAAGCCTAAATAAAGTTGTATGAGCAAACAGCACCCGATTGGACTTCCCGTTACAAAATTAAAATCAAAATTGTGAAGTTCATATCGAGGTTTTTTTTTTTTTTGTCAATCTAATATTATTTTTTCTTTTTTCATGTGACAGATTGGCAATGGTGAAAAATAGTTTGGGCTGCATCAGAAGATTTGATTTTGTGTTTTTGGAAATATTTTGACATAGGCTATTAATTTTGAATTAGTATGAATGTCTTGCACAGCTGTATTATTATTTACATTACATTTGTGTATATATTGTGCACAGGAAAACATGTGTTTTGGATTATTTTGAACAGGAAAATTATTAAAATCAAAATTTGTGTATTGAATTTTTAGTGACAGGTGGTATTTTTGTCGCTGTTAATATATTTGGCGACAACATATTGTTTTTGTCGCTAAAAGTTAGTGGTTATTCCAACAACTTTTAGTAACTAAAACTTACTTGTCGCTAAAAATGTGATTTTTAGCGACCAAATTAATTTTGTCGTTAAATAGTACTTTTGGCGACGCATTTATTTGTCGCTAAAATTACATAGCCTATCTACATTTTAACCTTTTAGCAACAAATTGTAATTTTATAGCGACAAAATATATGATTTTTGGCGACCAATTTTGCTTGTCGCTAAATGTCTACATACGGTGACAATTTTTGATTTCGTCGCCAATACTTTTAGTGACAAGCCTTTGGCGACAAGTTGTATATTTGTCGCCGATTCTTTTGGCGACGGAATTTGTACTTTTGGCGACAAATTTTTGGGTCGCCAAATGTGTTTTTTGTTGTAGTGTTGGCGACAGGAAAATTTGGTCGGTAAATCGTTTCAGCAACCAAATTTAGGCCTTTTGCCAACCAATAGTTTAGTAGCCAAAAGTGAGGGAAAACACCCAAAGAAGATTATATGTTGGAAAAACAATGAGCAGAGCACATTATGCTTGTTGACTTGGAAAAGAATGATGTTGGAAAGGTTTATACTCCCTTTTACTAAATTATGTTGGTATAAATCTGCGTTTTCCAAAAACTCCCAAGGATAGAGTTCATACACAATGTTTGTCCTGAATTTCTTTGTAAACCTGTTCTTAAATGGATGAAATATCTTGCCAACCAGAGATGAAGGGCGTCCTGCAATGAATATCCTCAACAGAGCTCTCAACATTTTCACTCTTTTCTTGCCTTTCTGATAGATCTATTTCCGAAACATTGGATTTGAATTAAACTGTTTTAGTTTTTGTTGATCTTGGTTGGTACAATCATGAGAGGCAAGGTCACTAATCGACAAAGGGGGGTCGCAGTGGTAGGGAAGAGGCTACAGGAAGAGTGGATGAGAGGAGAGGCGGCGGCCATGGATGGTGATGGTGATGGTGATGGTGATGGTGATGGTGATGGTGATGGTGATGGTGATGGTGATGGTGATGGTGATGGTGATGGTGATGGTGATGGTGATGGTGATGGTGATGGTGATGGTGATGGTGATGGTGATGGTGATGGTGATGGTGATGGTGATGGTGATGGTGATGGTGATGGTGATGGTGATGGTGATGGTGATGGTGGAAACTAATGGTTTAAGAGAGTTAGAGTTAGGGTTAGGGTTTTGGGAAATGAATATTTTGGTAATTAAATTTTAAGACAAAAATGTAATTAAAAAAAATCATTAAATGTGTAAAAAGAGAGAAAGTAGTGTGTGGAAATAGAATTTTCCCAATCTCACCCATGGACCGTGCGGCGAAACTCATAGTTATTTTTGCCATCCGAACATTCATTATTTACGTGAAGTTCAAAATATTGCTAATCCAATGATGTTATCTATGAAGTCAAACAAACATCATCTAAAATGTGTAAAAGCTTTTATTTGTGTATTTACTACTTTTCTTCTTAATTAATCATATTTATTTATAATTGTGGAAATTACATCCATCTCTTTGAAGTTTCTAATTTCATAAGAAATTATCGATTTTATCAATAAATTATCAAATTAATTAACAATTTTTAATGATGATAGGAATTTATTTTAATTAGTAATTCAGATAGTTTTATCACTGTATAAGAAAACAATCATGAATTTATTTTTTTAATTAATTTTGTCAAATAAAAAATTCTAACAAAAGAATATTTATAATTTTTTAAAACAACAAATGACAATTCGTATTTTAAACAAATTTTAAAAAATATATTTGTAATTTACCTTATATATCAATTTCAATGATATATACAAACTATCAATTCCACAACCGCCCAAAAAAAGAAAAAAGAAAAAAAAGGTCTAAACTACAGTTTATATTTATACAATGAGAGAGAGAGAGAGAGAGAGAGAGAGAGAGAGAGAGAGAGAGAGAGAGAGAGGGGGGGGGAGAGATTTTTTTTTGATCAGCAAAGAAAAATTTCATTAACAGCATGAAATTAAGAGTACAGGTAGATGAAGTGCACCGAGAGAGATTCAGAAAGTACAAAGTACCCCTACTACTGCTACTCACACCCAAAGAACCAACCCCTCAACCTCACAAATTTTTTAAAGGATAAAATAAGAAACAAAAGTTAAGAACTTAACAAAAACCATGAAACCCCACAAACTTCCCCCACAAAATCCAATTAATACATACCACATATGTAAAACGCCCCAACTGAGCAGAACACCCACTAACAGAACACCCAACCGGAAGAACACCCACTACCAGAACATCCAATTAACCCAATTAATACTCTCCAAACAGAACACCCCCTAACAAGCTTTGAACACCCATAGCAACCTAATACACCCCAGGACAAACAACCAACCAAAACACCCATTGTACAAATCTTCTACTCCGGTCCAAACTCCACACACCCACTGCAGAAGCTCCATGTTACCAACCTGAACACCGAGAAATGTTCCTCCTGGTGCAGCCCAGCACACTGCTCTTACAGCTAAGTGGTTCCATCCTTCAAATACCTCTCTTTGTCCTTAAGCTCCAGCTCAAAAATCTTCTTAACCACGCCCTCTTCTTGCCCACAGAAATTAATTCCCAGCTCTTTTCCTCATTTGACAGTGGCCTGCGCTTCCTTGAGAAGATAGCTATGCGTGCTTGATTCCCCCTCGGACAGCTCAGAGTTTTCAAGGGCCACTGCTGCTGGCCTGAAAATAACCGATTTGGAGGGAAGCCTACCGAAAGCTGCAGATTGGTGACCATAAAGTCGAGCAAACCGAGAAAAGCCTTCCATCTGAACCTTCTTGAAAAGCACATACCCAGAGATAGATTCCAAAATGGATATCATTAATTTTTTTATATATATTTTTTTTCTTTATTTATTTATACTCTGGTTAAAAAATTTAAAGATTGAGAGGAAATGGGGTGCTCCCCTTCTAGTGGGTCCAACTTAGATTTGTAATCATCTGGTGAAGGCAATTTAGACTTGTT